CAAGACTATGGTCCTTAGTCACTGTTCAGGTCTAGAATTGAACTCCCGCCTATGGCTCCAAATGTTAGTCAAGCAACAGACAAGTCTACAAGGGGAAGAATAATACAAATGAGGGACTCACACCTTAGAGTAATCAGCTATTTGAGATCAAAGGGGCAGCATCTACCTAAGGATAAAGTTCAGGAGGGCTAGGAAAGGAGGAGGAATAAAAATAGGAGACAAATGGAGGGAGTGGATAAGTAGTGGTAAATCGAGGGGACTGCAATAAATTGGATGAAACAATATGCATTGAAACTGTTGAATGTCAAACTGATAATCTACTAGCCCAGAGTTCCCTCCCTCTTTCACATCCATGATAAATAAAGAAAATGTTTTACAGTTGTCAGGCTTGCTGGAATGGATGGTATTACCAGAGACGGCCAGCACCTCAGCTTTCCTAAAATCCATTGGCCCCAGTACAGAGTGTTAAACTGTGATCCAAGAGAATGAGAAAAGAGTCTGTGTGGAATATTAAAAGTACCATTGGTCAATAAAACGCATCGCACTATTTTGAATAAGAAGAATTCATAGAAAGAAAAAGTTCAAATAGAAAGTAAAAGTTGAAATAAAAAGAACTGAATCTGGTTATACATACAAAACAGGAAGACTCCTTTCTAAATTATGAGAGGTATTTTGTAGAGGTTTTATGTTAAAAAATGTTCTCACTCGTTCATTGAACTGACTGCACCCTCCCTGTAACACAGACTCTACCCAGTTGTAGGCTTTGTCGACAACAGTACCTGTAATAATTCTTGACACTTTCCAGACTCGGAATGTTAAATGCATCTGTATTGAAAAAGAAAGGCAAAAAAAAATAAAAAAGAAAGTCAAACATGTGACTACATGGTAGGGCGGGGAGGGGATAACAGCTCTTTCTATAAAACTTTAAATGATAGAATGCCAATCAATTAAATTGATAATTTTGAAAATGAAAATTCAAGTTATTTGGAAACATATTTAAGAAACTTCATACCCTAGAGAGAAATGGGTACTTTGAATTATGTACTATTTGAAATAAATCAACTTGAAATTTTAAGATTGGACTGTTGTTTTTAGTCTTGTTTTAATCATGTAATTCTGGAACTCTAGAAGCCAGCAAGGAGTAGATTCAGGTCAAGTGCTTCTAAACAGCATGTTGTTTAGATAACAGGGACAAAGCCCATGTCTTCTTAACTCTTTGAAAGATTCAGTGGAAAAGGAGTTAAATGATGGGAAGTGGTAAGGTTAAGGACATGATAGGGCACTTATCTAGCAATATAATAATGTCAGAGCTTGACTGTCTAGATTCAATAGCTAAAATTGTTTATCACCTTTGATTGCCAAAAACCACTGCATTTTCAATAACCTTAGAGAATAAATTTTAAATGAAATTCAGGCCAAAGAAATATTAACACGTATGAAGTCCTCTTGCTAAATAATAGAATAACTCTGGGTTGTAGTTAAATTTTAGTTCCCTCTCCTTCCTTAATATATAAACACATATCATAATCATTTATGCCTATATAAGTCAATTACTTATTACTATGAATGCCAAGAGACATCCAAAATAGTTGACCACTGGTTTTCTTGATATTATTTGAAATAAAGAAGTCTGTATCTTGGCTTGCAAGTTTCTTTTAATATACACATATTTGTTGCAAAAGAATTTGACCTCTACTACTAATTAGGATCAAGAAAAAAAAGGGAAATGTAAATGGACCAAAGGAAATTGCTGGCGGGATACTCTATTTTTAACTTTCTTAGCTGCTTACAACTGTTTACAAAGAAATTATTTTCTGACCAAGCTGCGTATTTCACTTGGTAGAATTATCATTTAAAAATGGTTGCTTAAAAAAAATGAAACCAAAAAAAAAAAGTCATCAGTAATGAATAACCAGAGAATTTTACTAACTAATGAAAAGAAAAGCCAACATTCATCAATCAAATCGACCATCGGGACTCAGAGAATTTTGGGGGGTTTTTTGAGAAGAGTTCTTTCCTCGCTAAAACAACAAAGACAATCTCCAAAAAAATTGTAAAATGATCCTTTGCTCTGCACATGCAGACTGGATTTGGGGCAGTTTTGATCACTTTTAAAATTGACAAAAAGCAAAATGCACTCTGTGCTGTGCCATTCTGTGGCTGTGGCAAGGACTTACGTAACCACCAGCAGAATGAAGAGACAAAACCATTCAGCACCCCCCAAAGTCCATCATGGCGCTTCCCTGCAGTCAACTCCTCCTCCCACCCCCACTCTTGAAAACCACCGGTCTATTCTCTGCCTACAGTTTGGCCTTTTCCAGAAAGTCATGATCAATGGAATCATGCCATAGACTTTGGGGTTGGTTTCTTTCCCACAGCAAAATGTACAGAAATGCATGGTTTTCTTTGCTTTGTTTTGTTTTTTTATCCACCTAAATTTTATGTAACAATACATTTGCCATTTCAACATCTTTATATGTGCAATTTGGAGCCTTGATGGGGCGTGGTGGTTACATGTTGGGCTGTGATCCA